AATGACTTCGCGCCCTCGAGGGCGCCCTTGGGGAAGGGCTTGGGGCAGGTCCAGAGATGCCGCATACATTGAACCAATGCGTTCAAGGTGCAACAACAAATTTCAAAACATCCATCCCCCATAATGACTACCCCAGCACGCGAAGTCGTTAAGCAAACGCGCCCAAAGCAGGAATCGAACAGGGCGAGGCTGCTTAATAAACGCCCAAGGCCGTTTAGTAAACGCCAGTTGTCCGGACCGGATGGTTTTCCCCCCTTGAAAAAGAAGGGGGGGACGGGGGGCATAAGGGCGAGCACGGTGAATCCTTCACAGGGCAGCTCACCGCTTGTGCCCCACTGGCAGACCAAGCGGGGAGCACAACCCTGTAGAAGTTGACAGAGGGTGCGTCACCCATGGGTTAAGCAACCGGTTGCGCCAAGCATGGGTTGCGCGATAGGTTGAGCCATGCATCCATGGACAGCGCCATGCCCTGCGCCATCCATGGATTGCGTCATTGGTTGCGACATCCACGCCATAATCTGGTTACACCAATTGCAACACGGGTGTGCTCCATGGGTGGCTGAACATACAAGGGCATGCTATGGTCTGCGCCGTAGGTTGAGCACTCTACTGCCGAACAAAAACGGTCTGCTACTTGCGGCTGCGACCGAACATAAGACAGCTGGCTAGTGAAAGAGGCGCAAATTGCGAACTCGGCGGCACCATGTAAAACAGCCTGCTATCGGTTGTGTCATTCGGTGCGCGCTTGGTGACCGAACGTAAGAAAAAATAGTACCAGCTTCCCTGTAAAATTATTCTGCAGCGGCCGGACATGAAGGTGCCTGCTTTGATTTCGCCATAGGTTGCGCACTCGGTTGCCGACGATGCAACGGCTTACTCATAGGTGCGGCCAGTCCAGTCAGTCAGTTCGTCCATGTCAGATTATGGCTCGGAGCGCCTCGAAACACGCGGACTACATTCCGTATTAGCCTGCCACGATTGCCAGCGCCAAAAAGATGGCGCCTGGACCGACCGTGCATCGATGAAAGGGCGTGGCGATGGAGCCGAAACGCGCTGCACGCGACAGTCTTCGTCTGTTCAGCCACAGCTGGGGGAGATCTATTCAGGTCCTCCCCTGGGAGAACCCATCGTATCGACGATCCCTCCAGAGGGGTGTCGAGGAAGGTGAGGACCACAGCTGTCCAATGTGGGGGCAATCAACTGGGGGAGTGAAGAAATGTGTTCCTTTCACGCACCTTCGAGGCCCCAGGGGACCCCTCGAGGACCCTTTTCCTGAAGCCTCGGTCCCCCCCCCCCACTTGAGGGGCAACAAGAAGGGGGGATAGGCTCAAGGGGGGGGGACCGACCTGGATTTGGCGATACATTGCCGACGTATAGGCGGTAGGCCCCCGATAAGATCCGAGCATTCCTGGGCGGGTGGGGCTACCAGACCACTATCGGCGATCAATGCGCGATCAGGGGTCGATGGATCTCCCCTGAGTCTACACCTGGGCTGGGTGGGCTTTGCCCATTTAGCGGAGTTATATCTCGATCCCCCTGGAGCCGTTTGGGGCATTTGGACCCCCCCATGTAAGCAGACGTTGGCCAGATATAACCCACCTTGGCATCCAGAGATAGCCCACCTATCTCCTTCGCTATCCCCGCGCCTATCCCAGCGTGCGCCCCATGCAGACCCTGAGATCCTGGCGTCCAAACTGTTTCGAGCCCGGCGTTTTCGCCGAGACCGTGACCCTCGACCCTCACAGATCGATCTGGATCGAAAAACTCAGGGGGACAAAGGATAGCAAAAACATAAAAACTCCGAGGTCCGCGCAAATTTCTTGGATCCACGCTGGGCCCCCATCCTTGGCGCGCGGAGCGCGCCGCGCCGGAGGCGCCGCCAGGGGGGCCCCAGCGCCGATCCAAGAAATCCGCGCGCACCTCCGGGATGTTCTGTTTCTGCCACCTCTTGCTCCCCGGCAACTGGCGCAGAGAGATAGGGTCCGGGGGCCCTGCTCGTGCTCCTTCGCGATGCTGCCCTTCTTTTTCCGCCGCGCCGGGGCTCCGGGGGCACACTCGGCCCCGGAGGAGGAGGAGGAGGAGGAGGAGGAGGAGGAGGAGGAGGAGGAGGAGGAGGGGGAGGAGGAGGAGGGGGAGGAGGAGGAGGAGGAGGCGGAGGAGGAGACCCCACGGGCGCCGCCCGAGGCCCACGGCTGAGGCCCCTGGAGGCGAGCAGGAAGCCCCGAGGCTCAAGAGACTGCTCGGCGGCGAGTCGTTTTTTTTTCCGCGGTGGGGCCACAAAGGCTCCCGCAACATGCTGCGAGCCTGTATGGTTCTCCTGCGCATCATGCCATAGGCGCGTGTCCCAAGTAGCTCACACATCAAGTTGATTGTCCATGCAAGTTTCGGCCAACTACTCGTTTCCATTGATACAAATGGGTTGGGTACGTCACAAGGTAATTTTCCGCGGTGGGGCCACAAAGACTCCCGCAACATGCTTTTGTTCCAACATTGCGGGGCCATTCAGGCGAACGCGCAACCGTTGGCACGGCGAAGGGTGGCGGACTGCTCGACGGCGAGCGAGGGGGGGGCAGGGAGAAGGAAGAGGCCCTCCTCAGAATCGGGCGGGTGGGAATGGGGGGTGACCTAAGCTTGGGGATGTTTGGGGGTGGAGAAAAAGGAAAGGGGCCCTGCTGGCTCCAGAAGGAGCCCGAAAGGGCCCCTTTAGGGTCCTATTCTCCACCCCAGATGTAGGTCGCTCCCCCACCACCACCCGCCCGACACAAGGCGGCGGGGCTTCTCAGAAGCCCTCCAGCCTTCTGAGAAGTGTTCTGAATCTTCGGAGAAGGCTTGGGAGACTTCTGAGCACCCTGAGAAGGCCCGCCACCTTCTCGCTTCCCCCCAGGCTCGCCGCCGAACCGCGATATTCGATCAACGTGGAGAGGAGGAGGCTGTCCGCTCGCTTGATGGGGGCGGGGCTACGGGGGGGCGGCATCCGATGAAGAAAAGACGAACGCTTCTTCGATGAAACCAGGAGGGCCTCTAAGAAGCTCCCTGCCTTCTTAGAGGGCCGCCCCCTTGCGACGTCCCCGTCTGCGCGCGGCCAAGACAGCCCCATCAGAGACGGCTTTTCATGGAACAGAAGCGACAGAAGAGGAGGCGGCCTACCGCCGCACCGCCACACGAACCAACATGACGACGGCTACGTTGACCACGTCGACCTCGACGACTCCGACGACGACGGCGGCAGCGGAGGCGACGCGACGATCACAGACGACGTTCTCCGTCCCCGTAGGGCCAACACGGTCAGAACACCCGATCCTCGAATCTCGAGCCTCGCATGGCACGAGAACAGAACATTCGCACGTGCCGCCCAGCTCAGTCGTCGTAGCCGTCGCCGTCGACCCCCATCCCGTCGCCGTCGTCGCCGATTCGTTCGTCGCCAACTCCGACGTCGTCGCAGCCGCTGCCGCCGTCGACTCTACGAGGCTGGGACTTACAGATTGCAGATAGGTATCCGAAGCTTTATCCCCCAGGCGGTGGCGATTCAGGGGCCCTAACCTTGTGGTGGCGGACCGCGTGGTGACCTCGGAATTACGGGGCTCCGGAATCTTCACCACCACCGCCTCCCTCCACCTCCTCCCTCTCCCAGGATAGAAGAGAGGAAGAGGAGGGTCGAGGAGGGAGGGGGAATGGAGGTGGTGGTGGTGTATACTCCTGGGGCCCGCAGGAATCCCCAACGACCTCACCGCGCGGCCCGCCACCTCCCTGGGCCCTGGAACCCCGGAGACCCCCCGTCACTCGAGCCACCCTCGGAGCGCGGCCAGTCCCCAAACATCAAGAGGGGACCCCGAGCCCCCCCCCCCCAGACGCACCACGCGGTGTGGCCATCACGCCGTGCGGGGGCCCCCGGAGTGACGGAGAGGTCCCCGCCCCGGAGACTTCGGGACGCGCCTGCTCCTCCTCCTCCTCCTCCTCCTCCTCCTGCTCTTCCTCCTCCTCCTGCTCTTCCTTTTCCTCCTCGTCCTCCTCGTCCTCCTCCCCCTCTCCCTCCCCCTCCTCCTCCTCCTCCTCCTCCTCCTTCTCCTCCCTCGGCTCCCTCGCCTCTCCCTCGGGGGACGTGAACGGGAACACGCACGGGTCGCCCGACTCCGTCACGACGCACGGCCCGCCGGCGGGAGCCGCTGCGGAGGACGGGGTGCTGCCCGCGCTGGAGGACGCGGCGCTGCTCGCGTTGGAGGACGGCGCACTGCTCGGGCCGGAGGCCTTGGCCAGCTCCGTCAGGTCCTCGAGGGGCGGTTGTGAGGGTCGCGGGTCGGGGATCGATCTCCAATCCTCTCTTCGATCCTGGGTCCCCGTTGGGTCCTCGGAGGCGGCTGTGCTAGAAGGGCAAAGAGGCTCGAGAAGGACAGAGGAGGATTGAAGACCGAACACTGGCCTTTCGGGCCTCTGGCGGCCTCGGTGCCGTTTCGGGCCTCCGACGGCCTCCAGAGGCCCCATCATTTCCAACCCCAAGAAAAATCCCAAATCATCGATACCCAGACAGCGTCGTGTTTTTGTTGCTACGCGCTCCCGGAAGTCTCGACCACTCCAGAGGGACACTCTTCTCCGCCTCGATCATGAACCGTTTTTGACCGGTCCTGGTTCCCGAACAGGGCCCCTTCAGGAGGGCCGACACAGGGGGTAAAAGCACCCGGACGAGTCAAGGGAAGGCCTGCCCAGGGGCAGGATGCGATCGATCGGTGGTGCTCTTGGACGCCCGAAATGGGTATGGAAAAAAAGGTACAATGCCCAACAAATGTTGTCCCAAACCAACAGCTGCCGCTGTTGGGCAGCCGGCCTTCTGTCTCAAGTGGACACAGGCCGCGGCGGCGCGAACAGCGAGTCCTGTTCAAAATGAGCAGGAACTGCTTTTGGGCATTGTACCCATTCTTTCCGTACCCATGTCGGTCGTCCCCAGTGCACAGGTGACCTGTGTCAGGTTTGCCGCAAACCTGACACAGGTCATAGGTCTGACACAGGCGGTGCGCAAACCTGTCACAGGCCTGCGCGCCGCACTTTCTGGCTGCACGGCTGCCACCGTCCCTCCTCTGCGGCGGCCGACGAGGACAGGGCCAAAGCGGGGGCAGGACACGATTGGGGGAACGGACGCTGACAGGCGCGCAAGTTTTCTGTCACAAACCCAGTCGTGACCTGACGGGATCCAAGAGATCCGCACGGAGGTCCGCGCGGATTTCTTGGATCGGCGCTGGGCCCCCCCCCCTCCCTGGCGTGCGGAGCGCGCCCGGGGCGGCGCTGGAGGCGCCGCCAGGGGGCCCGGAGGCGCGGACCTCCGAGTTTGCACGTCTCTGTGATTGCTCGTTCCCCTATAGCGATGTGCACGCCACCGCCGCGACCGCGTGGGCGCACACGGCGCTCCAGCCCCTCGTGGGGCCTGGAAGCGGCAGGGCCGTTTTCTCACCGTTTCCGAAAAAACGTCCCTTGAAAATGGAAACGGCAGAAAAGACGACCGGAAACGGCAGCAAAAACGGCTCCAGGATTGGAGCCGGAGCGGGAGTCCGTAAACGAACGGCGACGGAACGGGTAAAAAAACGGCGTCGGAACCGGCAACGAAAACGGCAAAACGGAACCGGTAAAAAAACGGCCCTCTGTCGTTTCCAGGGCCCACTAAGCTCCAGCCAGCCCCGGACCACAGAGAGAGAGAGAGAGAGAGAGAGCCGACAAAAGCACTGCCAGACACCGGACGCCCAGGCGCAGGCCCTCTCTCGCGGGGGGCGGCCAGGCCCTCGGAAGAGGCGGTGCATGCAGGAGCTGCTCCAAGGACCGTTGCCCTGCTCGACATCCGACTGTGCGGACAGATAGGAGAAATCCACGCCATGATGAAGGATGGGAGTGGAGGGGCCGGGCGCCAGATGTGACGCTAGCGCGCCCAGCTTGTCCTCCTCCCCCTCCTCCCCCTCCCCCTCCGCCTGTCCCTCCTCCTCCTCCGCCTCCTCTCGGAGGCGCGCAGACATGGAGTAGCGATCCATGGATTTTTGGCGCAGGGTGGCCAAATCATGGATCCGGGGAGGTGCCCTCCCCAAAAGGCGGCCGGTGCGTCGGCGGAAATCCGCGATTTCCCATGGAAAACGGGACCCGTCGCTAATCCACGCCCCCTTGATGCATGTTGACAAGCGCCTGGAATTGCTGCATGTCATGAGCGTACACACACAGAGGCAACCAACGACGCAAATCATCAACTCTCGGAGGTCCGCGCAGATCTGCGGGGTCGGCGCCGTACACAGAGACCCAGACCACAACGCAAAAGATCAGCTCCCGGAGGTCCGCGCAGATGTCTTGGGTCGGGCTGCAGACACTCCCTCCGCACACCCCTGGCGGCACCATCCGGCGCCCCCCCCCGCCCCCTGCGCGCTGCGCGCACCAGGGCAGGGGTGGGGGGGGGGCCCAGCGGCGGCCATAGGAAGCCATGCAGACCTCCGAGAGCTGATCTTTTACGTTGCTATTTTTGAGCAGGCACCGACCGTCCCGGCATTCCTATAGGCCTACCGCGACATGCTCTTAGAACCCAACAATGCTCTAATCACAAGAACACTGTTCTCAGAACATAAGCCCCATGTGTTAAAACAAGACAGTCCCAGGCAGAAATGTTCTAAGAACATTTCGTGGAAACCACAAAAGGTTCTTAGAACATTCTTTGGTAGCCCTATAGGCACACCATGACGCTCCGCCACTGCTTGACTATCTGTGGTCGGCGCCGACCCCAGAAGATCTACGCGGACCTCCGAGAGTTGATGCTTCACATCGTTGTTTGCCTCTCCGTGTGCGGTCGCCCACCCTCTGGCGGTGGACCGCCCAGCAAATCCTCTCTTGCTACTCCTCGTCGGTCTTCAAGGGGCCTGGCCCTCCAATGCCTTGACCCAGGGCTGGACCTAAACGCTGTTTTTCGTCTTGGCAGGCAGGTCTGGGAAAACAGGTAGAGCAAAACAAAAAGCAAAACAAACACAATACGAGAAATAACGCTTAGGTCCAGCCCGGCCTTGACCCCCTCACGGGGGGCCCGGCTCTTGCCCCGAATTGGTCCCCGACCATGGCCCCTTGGGAGGCTGAACAATACTCCAGAGTTCGTAATAAAAGGGAGGGGGTCTGGACCCTCCAAGACAAGCCATTTCAGACCTCCCCCGTGGGAGAACCCTCCCAAACATCGTCCCCAGACCCCCCCAGGCCCTCCAAGATGGCCTGGAAGAGACCCCCCCCCCGAAATGAGACCCCCCTCCCTTTGTCACGAAATCTGGAGTAGCCTCCCCGATGCCCAAAGAGGGCCAACAGCGAGCAGACGCCGACACGTCCCCATCCGACGCGGCCGACCCCCCCGACCGAACTCCACGGCGGCGGCGCACCCCCCCCCCCCGCTTTGGCAGCGCCCGGACGGTCGTGGCCCGCAGTGTTGATGCCGAGCTTCTCGAACGCGGTCGCCACCGGGTCCTTCGTGGTCGTCGTTCCGGCACCGGCCCCGCCCGCGACGGAGAGCGAGCCGTTGGCGCCGGCGCCGCTGTCACCGGCCGCGTCGTCGTCGCCCTCCGCGTCGTCGTCGTCGTCCTGGGCGGCGTGCGGACCCAAACCTCCGACTCCTTGGAAGAATCGAGGCGACATCTTCTTCTTCTTCGGAGTGATCGGCCTCCTGGGGCCGCTTCTGGGCCCCGGGACTGTCAGACAGTCTGGGTAGTTGAAGCCAATCCGGCGCCAATTTGGCAGGCCCAATCTGGCAAACGGGGGCAATCTGGCGAGGGAGCCAACGCGAATCCAGTCTGGCGAATAACCCAAATCATCCAGTTTGGCCAGGCCAGATTGGCCCGTGGGGCCCAATCCAATCTGACAGTCTGGCCTTCGACTACCCAGACAGTTGCGCGGATCGGGCGGCCCACACCCGAGAGCGCGGGGCGGGACACGCAGGGAACAACGGGCCCCATCAGGGCCTGGCGGCCGCGGCATGCAGCCGTCCTTCGTCGAAGACGCGAAGGGGGAGGAGGAGGAGGAGGAGGAGGAGGAGGAGGAGGAGGAGGAGGAGGAGGAGGTGGAGGAGGATGAGGGAGGAGGAGGAGGAGGAGGAGGAGGAGGAGGAGGAGGAGGAGGAGGAGGAGGCGGAGAAGGAGAGGAGGAGCAGGACGAGGAGGAGGAGAGGCGGGAGGAGGGAGGAGGGGGAGGAGGAGGAGGAGGAGGAGGAGGAGGAGGAGGGGAGGAGGGAGGAGGAGGAGGAGGAGGAGGAGGGGGAGGGGGAGGAGGAGGAGGATGAGGAGGAGGGGGAGGAGGAGGAGGAGGAGGAGGGGAGGAGGAGGAGGAGGAGGAGGAGGAGGAGGAGGAGGAGGGAGGAGGAGGAGGAGGAGGAGGAGGAGGAGGAGGAGGAGGAGGAGGAGGAGGAGGAGGAGGAGGAGGAGGAAGGAGGAGGAGGAGGTGGAGGAGAGGAGGAGGAGGAGGAGGAGAAGGAGGAGGAGGAGAAGGAGGGACGCGAATGGGGGAGACCCGGGGAGCACCAGGACTGAGGGGGCCTGGCGGTCGCGGCACGCAGGGTGTGCGAGGCGGGTCGGGGACTCTTCGCTGCATCTGACAGGCCCAACCTGTCTGGCAGGGGCCCGCAGAGGGGCCGAGAGATCTGGCCGTCTTCCCGTTCAACATACATTCCGTCGGAGGTCTGTAGGAGGCTCAGCTGGAGCCTCAACCGTTCAGGGCTTGACATTTGTCTGCCATGCCGGGCCGACTGGAGGGTCCTCGTGGCTGCAGGCGGCGGCGCCGCGACTATTCTGTCAGGGGGGGCCCCAGAAGGGGTCCCAGGGCTGGCCTTCAGCGCAATTCACTTGGGGGCGCTGCGAGGCGAGGCGGGGAGGAGGGGGAGGAGGAGGAGGAGGAGGAGGAGGAGGAGGAGGAGGAGGAGGAGGAGGAAGAAGAGGAGGAGGAGGAGGAGGACCAGTGTAAACCCAAGAACCATCAACGAGGTTGGAAGAAACCCTCCCTCCAAGCTCCCTCGTCAAGGGCCCCTACAACGGTTCATTTCAACAGAGTGAACTGCCCCGTTGGAAGACAACCGCTTGAGGACTCTGAAGCATGCCAAAGCATTGTTCTCGCGATTACAACGCCACGGGTCAACGTGATTGCTCGGAATCGTGCCAGAACGCCGTTCTTGGGACTTCAACGCCGCGAACCAACGGAACTATTGTATCCTCATAGCCCTGAGCCGTTGATTGTGGAAATCCTCAAAACTCTGGCAACGTTGTAAAACGAATGTGCGCGGCGCTCAAGAGAGAGCCGCATTTTGAAAAGGAGCCGCCCTCAATCCGCGAAGCTCTTGCAAAGTGTCAAAACTAATGTGCGTGGCGCTAGAGCGAGAACCACATTTTGAAAACCGTTCGCCCTCAACGCGTGAATTGCTTGCGAATGTGTAAAAAGAACGTGTGTGTGCGCGGCGCTGAAACGAAAACCACATATGAAAAGGATTCGCCCTCAACCCGTGACACTCTTGCAACATGTTCAAACGAATGTGCGCGGCGCTGAGGTGAGAACAACATTTTTAAAACGGGTCACTTCAACCCGTGAAGCTCTTTCATGCTTTCATGCGCGGCGCTAAGGCGAGAACCACATCTTGAAAACGACCCGCCCTTCGTCTGTGAAGCCGTCGTCGTAAGCGAAGAAGATGTCTCAGGCGAAACGCCTGGCGCCCTAAAAACTGGCCTCGGGGTGCGACAGGGAGGACTTATAAGGACAATGCATGAATGAAGGAGGAGGAAGAAGAGGAGGAGGAGAGGGAAGAGGAGGAGGCGTGGAGGAAAGGGAGAGGGGAATGATGGAACGTTTCGGAGACGTTTACATTTACCGGGAGCCCATTTGGTCCTGCACAAAAAACGAAGAACACTCAACACGAAACGGGTAGCCGAAATCCCAGACAATAAGACCTGGCCTTCCCAAGCCTTCACATGCAGGATCTTCCTGGAGACTGGTCAAAGCACGGCTCACCCGATACAATGGCGGCCTCCATTCTCGCTCGCTGCCTCTCTGTGGCGGTGGCGACTAGGAGGACTCCCGGGACCTTTGGGGTGGCATTTGCGTCGGAGGTGCAATCAGCGGCGCGTTCTGCTCAACTTCTCGCTTCCGCCTCGGTTCTCACCCATGCAGGGCATCCGAGAAAAGCTAGAATCAGTATAGTTTTCTTCGATCGCCCTACCAGTAGCCATTCGAATAGAATGACCACCTGCAACGCCCGAAGTGCAGAAACCGCAACGCGCAGAATGCGGAAACGAAAACTGGCCCCCGGAGCCCAGGACACGGGACGAGCCGAGCCCGAGGACAACCTTCTGCAGCCCAGCTGGAGTTAAGTCGGGCCTGTCCCCCTACAGGGGGATTGTCATCGAAAAATGAAAAATACCCTCGATAATTTCAAACAAATATTGCATCAAAAACAATGAGGGGACATTTTTTGTTTATTTGTTTTCACCTTTTTGGTGCATGTTTAGGATATGTTTTGTTTTTCGTCGAAAATCTCCCTGTAGGAGGGCACGCCCGACAGAAAGCTAGAGGCCCAGACGCAGCGGCCCCCGCGCCGAGCCTCCCAGGAAGCCTCCCCGCCTTCTCGTCGGGGCCTGCCCCCCCCCTCGCCCCAGAACCCGTGGCGCGCGCTGCCGACATCCACCGGCCGCTCCTCGCACTTCATGCCATCCGCGGTGCACGCCTCGCACACGGGGCAGTCGGCCTGGACCTGCTCGAAGGCGCCGCTGCACCCGGCCCCGCCCTCGCCCGCGAGCCACTGAACCCGCTCCTCGCAAGAGTGCGACTCGCCCTCGTACGTGCAGACGCTGCTGCAGGGATCGGTCGGGTCCGTTTCGTCCTCCGACGTGCCCAGATCAAGGCGAAAAGTTTTCATACTGCCCTGCCGTCCTTAGTGGGCCCCGGAAACGGCAGGGCCGTTTCTTCACTGTTTCCGAAAGAAGACCCCTTGAACATCAAAACGGCAACAAAAAAGCGACCGGAAACGGCAACAAAAACGGCGTCAGGCTTGGAACCGGAGCCGGAACCGATTAAACAAAAGGCGACGGAACGGGTAAAACAACGGCGTCGGAACCGGCAACAAAAACGGCAAAACGGAACCGGTAAAAAACAACGGCCCTGTCGTTTCCAGGGTCCACTAAGCTCCGACGTGCCCAGATCAAGACGAAAGGTTTTCATACTGCCCTGCCGTCGGGAGTGACAAGGCCGTCGGGGGTGGGCAAAACCCTTCCGTGAAGAGGACCCGGGGCCGCACAAGGCGGGCGCAGGCACGCTGAAGCTGCGGCCGCAGTCCCGTCTGTAGATCTACCGAGACGGGAAGAACAAGTTCTTGAATAAACCTGGCCGAAAGAACACAAGTTCTCTAATCGACCTGGCCGAGGGGAGCTCTACCAACCTCCGATTCGTAATGCCCCACCTCTCGGAGCCGTTTCCGGGCTCCAGGGCCGTCAGGAACTTAGTGGGCCCTGGAAACGAAAGGGCCGTTTTTTTACCGGTTCCGTTTTGCTGATTTGTTGCAGGTTCCGACGCCGCTTTTCACCGGTTCCGTCGCAGCTGTTTGACCGGTTCCGGCTCCGGGTCCAATCCTGGAGCCGTTTTTTGCCGTTTCCGGTCGCCGTTTTTTTGCCGGTTCTATTTTCAAGGGACATTTTTCAGTAAACGGTGAAAAAACGACCCTGCCGTTTCCGGGGCCCACAAAGGTTCTACCAACCTCCGATTCGTAATGCCCCACCTCTCGGAGCCGTTTTCGAGCTCCAGGGCCGTCAGGAAACGACCCGCAATGAAAACCCTCTCCTCGGGAAGTGGCCTCGAGAGTCTAAGGGGCCACGCATGGAACAAAAAGACGGCATGGGGTGGAGCGGAATGGGCCTGCTTCCATGGCCCGTGTCTGCGGACAGACTGCCCAGCTCAGCACCGCGGCGCGGAGCACCCAGGCCGGGGTCTCCGCCAGAGGCGGCGAGAGGGAATCGAGATCGTCCTGGACTTCCCTGGGGCCCTGCCAGCGTGGACCACCTCCCCAGGGCCGCCTCGTGCGCAACCCCAGACGAAATGCCGCCTTGCCTTGCCCAGTGCCCTCCTCGTTTGCCGTCAGGTTCGACGACCTCGTACTGCTCGACTTCGCGCCCAGGGCTGTCCCTGGGAGCACGGTCTTGTCGGCGGTTGCCGTGCTCTCCTGCGTTGTCGTGGCAGCCTCTGCGTTGCCCTCGCCTGCGTCCTCGCCCTGCTTGTCCTCATCGTCGCCCTCGTCCTGAGAGAGAGGGCGAAGAGGGGAGGAAGAGGAACCGGAGGAGAACAAGTCCAAATAGGACAGCGCGCCATCCCTGCGATACGACGTCGTGAAACATGGCACTGTCTTGTCAAGGCGCACTATCGCTCTGCGTACATCCTCGTGCTGGATCGATTCGTGAGGGTAGTTGTAGCTCCCACCGAGGAAGGCATTATAAGCACGATTATTCGGAATGGTTGCGCCAGAACATATAGTATACGAAACGAATTACTCAGCTGCGTCGAACGCTTTATCCAGAGAAGGCTAAGACACCACACTAGGCCAGATCGTGTCAGAATTCGCTTGACTCGTGCTGGCCGATGGTCAGCTCAACCAAACTGCATCCTGAGCAGAGGAGGCTTCGCACAGATCACGTTGCCTTAAGAAACAACTCCTGGGAAACCAGTGCAAGAACGATTAACGGTTTTTAGGCCGACGACGGGGCAACGAAGCCCAATGGGACTAGACCACGTAAGCTCATGACCAAGCCCGCTTAGCAAGGATGAAGCGAAATAAAACGAAAATAGCCGGGCTACCGCCAGCTTGGGCCCGATTTCGACCACGGATATACCAGCGCCGATGCGCCCCAGCGCCGATCCGAGAAATCCGCACGACGCGCAGAATGTTTAATGTTATCGCCGTTGTTCCTTCTTTTGCGGGCAAGACTTGTGTCCATGTCACTGCAATTTCAAGTTGCGGGCTCCCTTCCCCAGAAACATTGGGCGCACGGAATAGGAGTCTGGCCCCTGGAGTCTGGAACCCCTTCTGCCCAGCGACTGAGCCTTGCGGCGCCCCTTCCAAAGGAAGTCCAAGACGCACTGGACGTGGGCATACATCTTGCCCGCACCTTCGAATTGCACGGTGCCCGCGGCCGTCCGGAGTGCCCGGGAAGGGCGCCGTGGAGCACCCGGAGAACACGTAGGAGCACGCGGCGCACACGGGGCAGTCCTGCCGCACCTGGGCGTAGGCCTCGCGCACGGGCGCGAGCTCCGCTGCCGAGGCGGGCAGGGAGGCACAGCAAGGCCTTGCCATCGCTCGGAGGTCCACTCCCCCCGCGTCTTTGGGCTTCGTGCGCGTATCTTTGTCGCAAGAGGAGCCTCGATGCTCCTCGATGACTCTCGCAGAGACTAAGTGCACACGTCCGAGCGATGCCAAGAGGCACGCGGTGAGCGACGACAAAGAAAAGCCATTCGGCGGCTCGCCCGAAGGCGGACGTTGACGACGACGAAGACGACGACGACGAAGACGACGACGACGACGGCGACCAACACGACCACGACGACGACGACGACAACGACGACGACGACATCAACGACCACAACTTTGACAACCACGACCACGACGGCGACAACGTCAACGACCACAACTACGACAACGACGACGACGACAACGACGACGACAGGCGGGACAATAACGGGCAGGTCAGGCGGCCACGACCCTTCTCGTCGAGGTGGGCGGGCGGAGCCCCGATCGGGCCAAGCCCGCAGAAAGCGGGCGCTCGTCGACGACGTCGACGACCACGACGACGACGACAACGATGACGACGACGACACTGACGACGACGACGACGACGACGACGACGACGACGACCACGACGACAACCACGACGACGACGACGATGGCGACGACGACGACGACGACGACGAAGTCGGCGACGACGAAGTCGACGACGACGACGACGACGAGACTAAACGCACACGTCCGAGCGATTCCCAGAGGCGCGCGGTGAGCGACGGCAAAGAAAAGCCGTTCGGCGGCACGCACAGGAGGGGTGGGAGGTTCGAGGTTCGAGGTACGAGGTTCTCGGGCGTTGTCGTCGGTAATCGGGTATCTCCCAGCCTACTGGTGCGTTCCAGCGGCTGCGCCGCGCCGGGAGCGTTCCAAGGGTGCTGCCCGGATCGTCCTGAACGGCCACGAGAGAGCCGAACCTGTCGTCCACGAGGGGGCGGGCCTTCTCAGGAGGCTTAGAAGGCCTCTGGCCGTCCGAATGGCTTTCTAAGCCTTCTCCGGAGCCGACTCTTGAAGACGCACAAGGCATTCGGACAGAACCCTAGGAGACATAAGCTGACTGGCTCGCAACGGGGGCGTTCCGTTGCTAGTCAATTTCCATCCAGGGATACGGTAGGAACATTGGATAACACAGGTAAGAACTCAGGGTCTGGAAGCCGGTGGAACACCAATTGAGGCTTGGCCATGGGTAGCACCACGGACCTCATCACATAAGGATCCCTCCAGGGTCCGAAGCCTCCGGGGCATACTCCTTCGCAAACGCCCCCACCGAAAAGAGAGGAAGGATGCTCTCGGAGTTCGGGTGCGTGGGAACTGCAGCTGAAGCAGACACAGGCCCTAGTGTTGTAAGGTTCGCTGCCCTGTGTTGTCTAGAAGTCTGCTAGCTCTCTAGAACGTCTCCATATCATCTTCACAACCGTCATCATCGGCGTCCCTGTGACTGTCTGTGCATCGTGAGGTGCATCGTGAGATAGCTGTCGAGACGAGGGGATGGTGAAAGGGATGATACGGGGGACGACGGGGATGGGCGCGAGGACGCAAGGGGGGATAATTCGGGGACGACGCGCGGAGGCCACAACACTGGCAGCGAACCTTGCAACCCCAGTGCGCAGGACGACGACGGCGACGCCTTCGAGCACGGGCTCTGCTCATCTCTGAAGGTGTTGTCGGCGCTCCACTGGATCCTGGCCTCGGCGGCACCAGGAGGAGGCCCCTTGGCCGCGCGCCAAGAAGGCCTCCTCCTCCTCCGCCTCCTCCTCCTCCGCCTCCTCCTCCTCCTTCGCCGCCCCCTCCTCCTCCTCCGCCGCCTCCTCCTCCTCCTCCTCCTCCTGTGCCTCCTCCTCCTCCTCCTCCTTCGCCTCCTCCTCCTCCTGCGTCGTGGACGGGAGGCCCTCCTTCTGCGTCGACAATGATTCCTCGCCCCCTCCTCCTCGGCAAGGGCCCCCCCCTGCGCCCACGAAAGGCTTCCTCCTGCGTCGCCAAGGAGGCCTCCCCGTTTCCTTATCCACCTTATTGTCCCCCTCCTCCTCCTCCTCCTCCTCCTCGTCCTCCTCCTCCTCCTCCTCCTCCTCCTCCTCCTCCTCCTCCTCCTCCTCCACAGGGGTGTTCCCCGCCTGCGCCCGCGAAAGGCCACTGCCTGCGTCGCCAAGGAGGCCTCCCCGTCTCCTCCTCCACAACAGGGGGAGGCCTCCTTCTGCGTCGACGATGGGGTCTCTTCCTGCATTGACGCGCAAGCCACCTCGTCTTCTCCTTCCAGGCCAGGAAATGCACACTCTCCATCTTCTCCTCCTCCTCCTCATCCTCCTCCTCCTCCTCCTCCTCCTCCTCCTCCTCCTCCTCATACATCTAATCAACCTGCCCCGATGCCCGCCTTGGACCCCCCCCCGCCAGACGCACACAAGCACCATCGTACAACAAACTATGTAAGCATGCGAGCCTGGGAGCCAGAGGATCGGGTAGCAAGGCGAAAGCAAAGATGATAAGGAAAATCAAGTCAGAGGGAACGGGGGCAGAGAGTGCGCAAGACTGGGAAGCAAGAAGAGTGAAGGAATCACGGAGGTAGAAGGATGAGGATGAGGAATGACGAAGGAGAAGGGGGAAGAGATAACAATGGGAGGAGGGAGGAGACGGGACAAGGAAGGAGGGACAACGCACATGAAGGGAGGAGGATGGGGAAAGAAGACAGGTAGAATGAGAGGAGGAAGGGTCAGGGAGGAACGGGGAAGGATGGGGGAGGAAGAAGGAGCAGAAATGAGGTTGACGGGCAGATGAGGGCGGACGAGGAAAGTCAGTCGCCTTCGCTCATTGCTACCCATGTCCCTCCTCGAAACACGCACACCCCTTCTGCTCCTGGCCTCTTCCTCTCTCTCCATCTGAGCATCCTGATCCTCATCCTCCTCCTTTTTATCCTGCTGCTGGTCCGCCGCGTCCCCAACATAGTCGACCCGTGCCGCCACGGTGTCACATGTGCCGGCGTGGTGTCACTTATATGGTCGTCCCCTCTCCGCAACCCCTACCCGGGTGATGGTCCGATCCGTGCCGCCGCGGCGTCACATGTGTCGCCGTGGTGTCACTCACGCGGTCGCTCCCGCTCCCCTACCCTCACCCGAACACCTCAAATACCTACCGTCCCCAACCCAACTTGCCCGTCCTTCCCCCCCCTTCTTTTCGCTCCCTTTCCCTCCCCTATCCCTCTTCTTCCTCTCCACCTGGCATTAGTTTCCTCTGTTTTGGGATCACTTCCCCTCCCCCTTCCCTCTTCCTCTCCGCCTGGCGGGGGTGGCTGGGTTGGGCTTGCTCCGACAAGCCAGCCTCAATCTTCAGCTCTCCTACCAAAAAAGTTGGTCGAGCACCCTGCTGGGTTCGCTAGGGGGTCTTTGTAAACACACGGAACGCACGTGGTTGAAAGCAAAGGCAGGATCTCCTGCGATCCCCTCTCCTCCAGGATCCGAGGACGGGCTTGCCAAACCGAAGGGCCAATCCCCCCCTCACTGCTTTCCCAGGGCGGCGTTTTTGACCCCTCCGGAAAATGCTGATCTCGGCACGTGTTGCCTGCTGCTCCTTTTGGCAATGTTGGGCGCACCCCGTCGCGGTCAAAGGGGGGGCAACCAACAACTCCCTCCCCCTTCCACCCTCCTCTGGGGTGCGGGGGTGGGTTTGAAACATCGTTGCTCGCCCAGGTTCTTGATCCTTTTTCCAGGATTCCCGCTCTCAGGACTCCCATCGCAGTGGTGAGTTGAGCGGCCAACTGGTATGAACCACAGGCTGTAGAACAAACACAAATACCCCATTGAGACGAGGAGCCTCTCATCGGACAAAGATGCGTCTCTGTCCGTTCTGTCGGCGGTGAACATTTTTATATTTCATTTGGCTGTAGTGGCCTGTCCTCGGCTTCACCAGCCCGGGGGGAATACTTTCGGCGGGAAATGAGTCACCGAACCGTCTGTCTGGGGTCCACTACTACTTTGGATGTACACCCTGCGAAATGCTTCAGAAATCATGGGTTAAGAAATCCATAGTCCCATAATTTGAATAAAGACCAAGAATTCCCATTGAAATCTTAGGATGTACATTGAAACGTTAAGAATCATCGAGACTCTGGGCGAAAACTTCAGTTTTCTTGAGCATCGCCTAGGGTGTACCGGCCTATCCGTGCTAAGAGGCCGCCTCGCGACAGTGTGTGAGCAGGGCTGTCCGACGAGGGTGGCCTCAGCAGGCTTCTCGCTGTGAGAGGTCTTTGGGTCGGATCGATCCATTTTGATGCGCCCATAGGAGAACAAAAAGTGACATAAACATAAAAACTCGCCAGGGGGGTCCAGCGCCGATCCGAGAAATCCGCGCGGACCTCCGAGCTTTTATGTTTATGTGACTTCTTGTTCCCCTAAATGTATCCCGCCCCCCGCTGCAGCCTGCACGATGTGGGATCTGTTGGCCCTCAGGGCGCTCGGTCGCGGGGCTCTGGGTTGGGTGCCTCCCCCTCCTCAGGCTTGCCCTCTGTGGGGCGCGCCTGTTCCCGGGGCCCTTGGCTTGCCCCGGGGGGAGGGCACGCTTCGTCCGCCCCAATGGGCGCAACAGCCTGGCACCAAAGCGTGAGCGTGCGTGCTCGTTGTCCCCCCCCATGGGATACCGAGTGCGCGGGGTCTGTTCAGATCGGTGTCGAAGCTGTGTCTGGCGTTTGTTGTGTTGCCCCCTCCTTCCAGGAAGTCCCACCTCTTGACCAGGACGCATCACGGGCGGCCAGATGCTCCTGGACATCGGCCTCCCCTCCCTCCCCCCCTCTCTCTGGCGAGGACCATCGTAGGCCTCTGCCCCTCTGGAGGTGACCATCATAGGCGCCACCCCTCGGCACCTACCATCATAAGGAGCTGCCGGGGTCCCACTCCCATCAGTACACCAATCCATGAAGCTGCCATTGGCGCTGGAGGGAGCCGAGGCTCTCCCTACGCCTACGGTCACTCGGCCAACGACGACGGCCGTGGGGAGGGGTGCCAACGTAGCTCCACATTAAGGCCTGAAGGCGCCATTTGCCACCATTCACTGTTTTCCCCATCATCCTCCATCCTCCTTCTCCTCTCTATTGTTGAACGCTCTCGGCGCATGCGCATAGTAGCCCGGCGCTCGCGGAGTGCCGAGCGGGGTTCGGCTGGCGCCTGAGCGGAGCCGGCCCCGTGGAGGAGAAGGGGGATGGTCTACGATTCGGTCGAGCATGTCCTCCTACAGGCGGATCTCGAACGAGGAACAAATCGTCCCCAAACTATTGTTTGACTATTTTTGAATGTTCCTCCTGCAGATGGACAGGCCCGACCTACGCCTAAGAGGGGGCCCCCCGAGGCCCTCGCCTGGCAGGTGCCGTCGCTGTCCCCGAACGTGCAGACGGAGTCGCACGAGGCGTTGCTCGGCACCTCGCCGGGGGCGCCCTGCCCCTCGCCGGCCCATGGACACCCGCGGGCCCGCTGTTCCAAGGCGCGTTCTGCCGAGGGAAAGGAGGAGGAGAAGGAAGAGGAGGAGGAGGAGGAGAAGGAGGAGGAGGAGGAGGGGGAGGAGGAGGGGGAGGAGGAGGAGGAGGAGGAGAGGAGGAGAAGGTGAAGGAGGAGGAGGAGGAGGAGGAGGAGGAGGGGGAGGAGGAGGAGGGGGAGGGGGAGGGGGAGGAGGAGGAGGAGGAATGAGGGGGGGGAGGAGGAGGAGGAGGAGGAGCAGCAGTGGCCTCAGAAGGAGGAGGAGATGGAGAAGGAGGAGGAGGACGGGCTGGGGGAGGGGGAGGAGGGGATGATTCCGACGCTCGCGTGTGCAAGCGCGCGTTGGCATGGACACCCCATCTGGAAAGCAGTCGTGACACAGTGTTCCGTGCAGTCTCCGATTGCCGCTCCGCCTGTGCGGCAAGAACTTGCTCCCCTGCTGAGCCGACCGAACGCAGGAGCGATCGTTTTCAAGAGATCCCGACCGCCTCTCCAGGGGTAGTTAGTCTTTCGTCCCGGATGTGTTTGTCGCTGCCCCAGGGCCCGATGGTGGGCCCCAGAATCCAAGGTCGAGGCAAACGGCCCAGATTTCTCTGTGATCATTCTTTGGTCGCAAAAAAACCTACCAAGAAGCCTCCCCGATGGGGTCGGAGTAGATGGGGTCGGAGGATCGCGCCGCATGGTCGATGCATCACCGATGCATCGGCGATGCATCGGCGATGTCGGCAATGCATCGACGCCGTCGGCATGGAAGAAAGTCGGGCTCCACCTCGAGCCGCATCGCCGATGCATTGCCGATGCGGCGCGATCCTCCGACCCCAGCTGGTCAGGCCTCCGTTCGGCGGCGAGCCTCCGGGTGGACAGCAGAAGGGGCAAGCCTTTTCAGAGAGCTCGGAAAGCCTACCCCTTCTGGCCTTCGGAGAGGCCGTCCCTGTCTTCGGAGAAGTCCTAGACAACTTACCAGAAGGCCAGAGGGCTTCTGCGAGGTCCCGCCGCCCTCTGAGAAGGCCTGACCCCTCCCGCTTCCCCGCCTGGGCTCGCCGCCGTTCAGAACCAAGGTCGGCACCGTTTTTCTTAGGCAACCTATGGGGCCTCGGGGGCCCGAAGCGTCAAGAGGTCAGCGCCTCCCTCCCCGCCCGACGCCGGTCGGGAGCGGCCCCGAGAGGCGGGCGGGCGGGGGTGCGCGAAGCGCAGCAGCCCGAAAGAGGGCGAGGCGGATAAGTGCGGAAGGGTCAGGAGCGGGGAGCGGATGTTTTTTTTTTTTCCAGCGCATCTTTTGGAGAGGGGGAAGAGGAGGTGAAAGGAGAAGGCGCGACGATAGCCCAGCTGATGCACACGTCCCTACGGTCAGCGCGGGGCACAGCACAGGAGCCTAGAACGACACGAATTTCCCGTAAAACGTAACCGCGACAAGGGGGGGGAGGGGGAGGACGAGGAGGCGAGGAGGCGAGGAGCGGGGAGCGGATGTGGCCGATTTCGGAAACCCTGAACCCGAATATGATGTCACCTCTTGAGGGAACATATTTTACTATATACCGCCGCCTTCCGCCAGCCTTCCGCTGGCTTCCGCTGGCGGTGGCGGCCTCGTTTTACTCTCGCCGACCTTCCGCCGCCTTCCGCCGAGGAAGAGATGCCAACTCCTTCTAGCCTCGAAGACAAGGCCATTCTCTGAACGCCTCATGTTGAAAGCTGGCGGCTCCTTCCTAAACTTCGCGGACTTGTGCAGAGGGCGGGGTCGGAAAGATGGCGGAATCTGAAGCTCTCTAGCTGCTGCTGCAGCTCGCTGCCACGCGCCTCTCCCCGCGCGCACGCGCAAGGCGCATGTTGGGTGCCCCCCCCCCCGGCCAACGTGGGGTCGCGCCCCTGGGGGGCACTGGACGCGTGAAAACACATGCTCCGCGCGCACGCGTCAGGCGCATGTTGGGCCCCCCCCCCGCGCCAAAGTTGGGCCGCCCCCTGGAAGTTCTGGACGCGTGAACATACGCGTGCCCCGCGCGCGCGCGCCAGGCGCATGTTGCCCCCCCCCCCGCGCCAGAGAAGTGTCGCCCCCTGGAGGCGCTGGACACGTGAAAACGGGTAACCCGCGCGCACGCCCCCAGGCGCGAGCAACGTCGTCGTCGCCGCCGCCGTCGTCGTCGTCGTCGTCGTCGTCGTCGTCGTCGTCGTCGTCTGGACCGTCCATCGTGCTTTCTCGGGCTGTCCTTATTCTCCTCCGCCGCCTCCTCCCCTTTCGTGCGCTGCGCCGTGGCGCCCGCAAGCGCGGAGGCGGCCAGGGTGCGGCCAGCTTGGAGACGACGACGACGACGACGACGACGACAACGACGACGATGACGACGACGGCGACGACGGCGACGACAACGACGATCCCAGAAGGGCCGAAAGTGCCCGACCTCCATCCTCGCCATCGCTCGGACGTCCATTTCACGTGCATGTTTCGGTTTCGCGCGTGCTCTTTTATTTTCCCCCAGATGATTCAGGATGCTCCTCGATGGTCCTCGCCGACAAAAAACGCAAACGTCCGAGCGATGCCAAGTTCAACTCCAGGAAGGGCCGAACGCCAGGGAAGGCCAGCCTGCTCCCCCGTGCGAGGGCCGAGGGCGCCGGAAGAACATGCGACAACACGCGAAGTGCATCTGGCTCTTCTCGCGGGCAGGCCGCATCATGCGCATGTGTATCCAGCTCTCTGGCTCTATGGCAGAGGAGGACCCTCGAGGGCAGATGCGGAGGAGGAGCACGAGGAAGAGGAGGCCGCATAGGAGACCAGAGGGAAGCAGGGAGACAATGTTTGGATACGTAATGCGAAGAACACAGAAAAAACGCAAAGGAGGTCCAATGCGTTGTCTAAGGAAACGAGTGTCAAGACGTATGGCCCTTGAGCGTTTAAAACAATACCCAACACAATAGCGCCCCCCCCCCCCCTTGGGGCCCGCGCCCCCCTGGGAGGACCTTCGGCCGAGGAAATCGAACACGGAGGGATGGCGAGGAGAAGAAAGCATCATCTCTTTCTCTCTCTCTCTCTCTCTCTCCTGCTGTCCTTCCTGTCCCCCCCCTTATGCCTACTTCGTTGTCCACCTGTTGTTCTTCGTCGTTGACTTGCACCTTCTGGTCAACCTCTGCTACTTTTTCCCCACATCCTGAGTGGGGTTCTCGTTTTCCTAGAACACCCTCTCCTTCTCGTTCTCTGGCCTCCCTACCATACCATACCACACCACCTACCATACCATGCCACACCTACAATACCAACCTCCCTACCATACCATACCACAACACTTACCATACCATACCATACCACACCTACAATACCAAAGCTGCCATACAATACCAAAACGACCATACCGTACCTACCACGCCGAGGAAGCCACGCCGGAGCGAGGACAGTATCTGGATACCATGCCATTTGCAAGATTTCGTGCCCACCTCACCCCTCCAGGGAGGCCTCGCCTGAGCGAGGAGGGTATTCGAAAACCTGACTATTTACAAGGTTTCGTGCCCTTCCCACTCCTCCGGAGGGCCCCGCCTGAGCGAGGAAGGTATTCGAAAACCATACTATTTATCAGCTTCGTGAAGGCATTCGAAAACGATGCTATGTATCAGGCTTCGTGCCCCTCTCACACCCTCCAGGGAGGCCCCGCCTGAGCAAGGAGGGTATTCGAAAACCTCGTTATTCATGAGGTTTCGTGCCTCTCCCACTCCTCCAGGGCGGCCCCGCCTGAGAGAGAATGGTTTTCGAAAACAATGTGATGTATCAGGTTTCGTGCCCCTCCCACTCCTCCAGGGAGGCCCCGCCTGACCGAGGGAAAGATTCGAACACCATGTTATTTAGAAGGTTTCGTACCCATCCAACTCCTCCAGGGAGGCCCCGCCTTATTCGAGCACCATATTACTTATCAAGTGTCGTGCCCTCCCACTCCTCCACGGAAGCCCTGCCTGAGCTAGGAGGGTATTCGAACACCATGGTATGTATCAGATTTCGTGTCCCTCCCACCCGTTCAGGGAGGCCCCGCCTGAAAGAGAGGATATTCGAAAACCATTTTATTTATCATGTTTCGTGCCCCTCCCACTCCTCCAGGGCGGCGCCGCCTGAGCGAGGACGGTATTCGAAAACCTTATTATGGAAAGTGCGCCAATGGATCTCCCTGAATACACTAAAGCGGGGGGGGGGGGGGTCCAGAACCCCTCCCCCCCCCCCCCTCCCTCTTCAAGGGGGGGGGGGGTCCGGACCCCCATCCCCCTCCCCAGAGGGGGGGGGGGTCCCGACCCCCCCCCCCCCCTCCTCCCTCCCTTGAAGGGCGGGGGGGGGGTTCTGGACTCCCCCCCCCCTCCCCGCCTTGGCGCTGGAAAGGGGGGGGGGGTCGGACCCCTCCCCCTCGTGTAGGGAGTACGGAGTTGGGAGTAGGGAGTGTTGAGTAGTGAGTAGTGAGTTAGTGCGTAGTGAGTAATGAGTATTGGGTAGTGAGGAGTAGTGAGTAGTGAGTATGAACAGTGAGTAGTGAGTGGCGAGTAGGGAGTAGGGAATGGGGAGTAGTGAGTAGTGAATAGTGAGTAATTAGTGTGTACTTATAAGTGAGTAGTGAGTGGCGAGTAGTGAGTTGTGAGTAGTGAGTAGCGAGTAGTGAGTACTGAATAGGGATAGGGAGTAATGAGTACTGGGTAGTGAGTAGTGGGTAGTGAGTAATGGGTGGCGAGTAGTGATTAGTGAGTAGTGAGTTGTGGGTGGTGCGTAGAGCGTAGTGAATAGTGTGTAGTGAGTAGTGAGTAGCGAGTAGTGAGTAGTGAGTAGGGAATAGTGAGTAGTGAGTACTGAGTACTGAATAGTACGTAGTGCAGATTCTGGCCCCGACGGGGGGACACCAAAAAAACCCTCTCCTCTTCTGTGAAGCCAAAATCATTGATTTTACTACGGTTTCGGTCCCATGTTGGCCTTCTCAGGGGGCAGCGCTCCTCTT